CGCTAGATAATGGCTCTGAAAGATGGGATCATCTGACTCCTAACGAGATGCGATCGATCGTTCACAATTTACCGCGCTGCGCCAATTTTCAATTAGCGGCGGCCTGCAGGGGCTGTGATCAGCGCCCGGCGACCCGCGGCGCGGCGTGGCTTCCATCAGTCCGCTCATTCAGTGGCAGTTTGGAATGGAGTGGCCGCGCCGCTCCGATACCGCGCTGCACTGCAGTCAACAGCTGACGCCGAGCTGGGTTTATACTGCCGAGTGGCCTGGCTCCTGTCTATGCCGCGCCACACCCCGGCTGGCCAGACCCCTCCCCCTCTCCTCCCCGTCCCGTCCGGGCAGACCGACCGGCCCCGCTGCCCCCCCCCCCCCCCGGCGGAGAAATGCAGCCCCTTGCAGTGACGGCCGCGCCTGCCATCCCTGACTGACTGCGGGTGACAGAAGACACTGGGAGAGATAAACAAAGCTGCAGGTGCCTGTAACTCAATTCATCTGTTATTCGAGCCAGGTCTGATTGGATAACATTGCTTGTGCTCATACTTTGTTCAGCCTTATATACAACGGACATATTGTGCAATGAATCAGAATTTCGCAGCTAATTTTTATGCCAAGTTCGCTCAAATCAAGTAGGTATAAGATCCTAACACTGAACCCCATTTACTAACAGCTAAAATGCATGAAAATGTAAGCCAGTACCGCTAAAAGTTGTCGCTATCTTCCACCGTTCTTTCAGAAAAAGGCCACAACGAGCGGAAATTGCCGTGGGCGGTCCCCGGGTCTCCCCAATTTGTCTGCCGAGCTAGAGACCGCTCTCCGGCACTGTCCCGTCCCGTCCCACCCCGTCCCATCTCCTCCTGGTCCCGTTCCGTTCGGCCGCGGGCGCTCCCTCCTCCCCCGGTGTTTATAACGTTGTGTTTATGTACTCTGCGCGCCGATACGCGGCCTATGACACACGTAATGGAGAGAGCCCGGGGCGGGGGCGGCGGCGGCCGGCCACCGGGCCGCCCGAGCCTTTGACGTCAGTCACCGCCAGGCTGCTTGCTGAGAAAACACTCAGCGATGGGGAGTGCTGGCGAGTTGCAGAGTCGCCGGCACGACCGCACGCGCCTGTTTGTATGACCCTCTCTCCCCTCCCTCCCTCCTCTGTCCGCCCGGATAATGTCACGAGGCCCCCTGGAGACATATGGCCGGATTTATTGTTGCGGCGTCGGGTTTCATCGTTGCGGTGCGCCGGCGCGAGCTCTCCGGTCCTCAATGGATGGTCCGGCCGGCCGTTGTTTATCCGTCGACTGGCCGTAAAAACGGGCGTCCTTTGACGGCCGGCCATCCAGCAGAGATGGGGTCGCTTTGACAGAGCCGCTGGGCGGCTAGGCAACACGGTCTTAGGCTAGCTCGGCTGGACGTTCACTGCGCTTACTCGGCAGTCGGCGACACGATCCTGGCCAGGCCCTGTGAGAGTGATAGTTGTGCCATCCCATGGCTGCATTATGCTTTTGTGGTGTCAACAATGTGGTGTCATCACCAATCTCATCAAAAAATTGATTTCGTGCCGCCTCGTTGTGATATTGTGCAGCTAAGGCCTAAAAGCAGCATAAGTTTTTTAACCTGACCGAGCTACCATTGGATCTCTCCGTCGGGCCGTGGCCCCTGAGTGGTCACACCTCTGGCTCTATACCGTTCTCCCTGATGCGACCGGCGGCGCTGCTACCGGTTTTAGGCGGGCCATGCAGCTGATCCAAACTACCGTCTGCAGTCTGTCTCACCATTCAGCGGCACGGGACAGCCGCTCTGCTACCGCAGGTCGGCGCGTGGCCTCAGATAGAAGCCTGTCGGGAGAGGGTCTGGCGCACGCCGGTCGTTTGTCCTCCTTCGACGGCCGCTCACGGCTGTTTGACACGACCGAGACATATCGCCGCCGAACAGAATGGCCTGTCCGCCAGTTTGGCAGCCGGGCTGAGGTGTTTGGAAAGCTGGGCCATATCGCAGGATGGCTGCTTTATGCGTTTGGCAACAATCTGTCACCGGCTCGCTGCTGCGAAAGATCAGCTAACAAACGAGCTTCTGTCTTTTTGTGCGGTCTGTAATCACACCAATCAATTAACTGTCGGTAAAAGGGCCAAATAGATCTCTTGGATACTTATTTTGCATGAATAGTGGAAAGATAGGACAGAGAAAATTAAGCACATGTGAGAACTGAGAACATCATTAACAATAAATACATGTTTATGCTTTTGGGAGAGGAAACTCCAATAACAAATGGACTCCAGTAGATGCAGACTAGCTGCATTGCCAGATCCCTATCGTGTCGTACTATTCACGGCACTGGCACACCAGCCACGGTCCATCTCTGGTCCGTCCTTCTGCCTGCTCTGGTGGAGTGAACTGCCCACCCCCGACAGTGGACATCTGCCAGTCGACGGGCCGGGCCGCGTGGGTCTGAGAGCTCCCCAGGGACCGCGTGTTTGACGCACTACGCCGACACGCTATTTGGAAAACCTTCTCATTAGATAGCCGTGTTTACATGAACGTATACACTATACATGCATAACATAAACAGGGGCCTAGGCTATGGCGGGGTTCACTGGACACACTCGGCGGCCGGCCGTGGACTCGGAATCCGTGATGAAAAACGTTTACGTTCCCTGGATGATTTGGTAGGCCTAAGGCCTTTAGTGTATGAGTTAGCGTATGAGTTTTAACGAACATAAGCGCATGAGTTTAAACGAGCTATGTAACTCCCGGAAAACTAAATTGGATAGCCAATCTTGAATACCTCACTAATTTTTCTCGGTAGATTGGGGTGAATGGACATGGGCGTTCTCTTCTTAAATTGATCATGGGAATTGGGAATGTTTCATAATTCCTTCAATGAGACACACTATCAACGTCATTTGTTTTCTCCGGTGGCGTCCGAATGTCCTCTCTGTCCTTGTCCTCTCTGTCTGTGAATATATCCGAATTTCCTTTTTTCCGTGCCCTTCCTGCCAATGCCCTCTCTGTCCGTGTCTCTGTCCATTTCTGTGTTCTCTTCCTCTATGTCCGTGTCAGTGTCCTCCCTGTTCGTGTCCGCGTGTCTTCTCTCTCTGTTTCCGAGTGTTCTATATTGGAGTGCCTTCTCTGTCCGCTCCGTGTCCGAGTGTTCTCTCAGTCAGATTGGAATCCTCTGTCGATGTCCAAGTGTCCTCTATGTCCGAGTGTCATCTCGGACTATGCCCAAGTGTTCTCTCTGTCGTCCGAGTGTCCTCTATGTCCGAGTGTCCTCTATGTCGGAGTGTCCTCTATGTCCGAGTATCCTCCCTGACTATGCACGAGTGTCCTCTCTGTTTCTCTGTGTCCGGGTGTCCTCTATGTCCGAGTGTCCTCTCTGTGTCCGAGTGTCCTCTCTGTGTCCGAGTGTCCTCTCTGTTTCTCTGTCCGAGGGTCCTCTCTGTCTCCGAGAGTCCTCTGTCCTCTGCGGACGTGTTTGCGCTCTGACGGCGGACAGTCACATCCGGTGACGGCTGTGCAGCTCCGATATGTTCGTTTAGACGTTGGCCGGTAATGGGGCCGCGATGATAAACAGTGCGCCGGAAGCGCGCCTTGATTCAGCCGTCCTGCAGCTGCAGGCGACTGAAACTCCATCCTCTGTGCCCTGGACTGGAGCTCGTTACGGTCAGCTCCCCAGAACTGACCGTCGTGCGGCCGCCGACCTTCCCCTGAGCACGTGCGAGGGTGGTGGACGGGTGGCACCGTGACCTCTGTCCGAGAGACGAGTCAGGCTTCTGAAACGTCCGACTGTGTGTGCCATTTTTCGGTAGCATTCTTTGAATGATCGATTCCAATGCGTAGGTATTCTGTAAACTGAATGGACTGAATAATGGAATGGAAACTGAATAAACTGAATGAGAGCCCGTTTCGAGGAAGCGGCCTCTGCTCACTACTGGTGGCTCTGTGCTGAGGCGGACGGACGCGTGTGGGTCGACCGTTTATGCTCGTATCGACTGCCGAGTTTGACCTGACCAGCTGTCTTGGTCTGTCCGCGCCGAGTTTGACCCCAGCCCAGCTGTCTGCCCGGCTCGGCCGGACAGCACCTGGCCCCGCCGGCCGACCCCATTTGACCCGGTCATTAGCGCGACTGTGTGACACAGACACCAAGCAGGGGGTGTTGGTGTCCTCAGAGGGGCTAGGTGACGGACCCCCGGCCCTCAGAGGGGCGGACAGGGGGACAGGGGCGGGGCGGCACGTGCTAATGAGAGGCCGGGCGGCTAGCCGGCTGTCCTCTGAGCTCCGCCCGGAGATAGACGATCAGCTGGACAGCGAGTGGTTCTACCCGGCCCGACCTGGCCCGCCTCCACACGGCCAGTCCACCACCCGATGGGGAGGAGTCGGTTATAATAACTGTGGCTGAGGTGGTTTTTAATTTATCGCTTTGAACAGAAAGAAAAAAATCGACAGATGTTAAAGCCGAGAACAGATGTCTGTTACAGGGAAGGATGGTTGCGAAAATCGAGGCTTTTCCCTCTTCTGTGAAGCCTGAATCATATGCCATGTTTATCACAGGCTCGCGATTTTCTTTAGCACTACCAATGGCAATATCCACTCCATCCTTACCTGATCCGCCGTTGTGAATGTGTAGTGTGTACTTTATGTGCTGACGCTGTCCGAGTCTTTGGTGATTTTCTGTGCCTATCTTCTTTTTTCGTGTATTGATAAAATTTGCCGTTATGTTTTGTATCTCGGTCTTTGTTCGACAATGAGCCATGTCTATCCTTTACAGGTTTCGTCGTTTTTAAACACCTTTGAACACCTCATAGGTTTTGTCGTTTACCCATGTCCCTTTCTACTTTCGGTGCTGGTTTGATCCGTCGTTTTGCATCTTCCACGGTTTCTTTATTTCGGCAGACAGTGTGACACTGGCTGATTTCGGTCTATGTTTTCCCCAAACACATTACTCTCGTTTTCTCGCCCCGAACGCTGTGTGACCCGCCGACTGACCTGGTTACCCCGTCTGTCCTCCCCAGGCGCTGCTCGTGGAACAGGAACAGAAGGCCAACGGTCGGACCGGCTGGCCCCAGCACGTCTGGGCGCTGAAGCTCAAATAAACGTCACACTCCCTTCAACGTCACACTCTTCTTCACGGTGGCGCAGCTCGAGCGTCGCTGCAATCACCTCTCGACTGGTACCGATAAAGGGCAGTATCTCCCTCCAGAGGTCAACAGAGCTCACATGAGTTCGTAACATCTAAGCTCGCAGAGATTGGCGCGGCTGTAGTGCCGGACTTCCTGCGCTGGACGCTGGCGATGGCGTCTGGCATACGATCTGTGGCGACGCGGTGTGGCTGTTCAGAGCTCTCTCAGTGGGAGAGAAATAGTCAGTGACATTGACAGAGGTGCAAGCAAATGACAACTTTCAGGCGGCGCTTGCAGTGGCTCACTCAAATCCGCAACTGCAGACGGGAGAGACTGGGATGACAGCCCCGAACACTGTGACCGGAAGAGTATTGGTGTCTGATTTTGTTACATTGTTATTTGTTTTATGATTTAGTCATGTCAAAGTGTCGTGATGTGGATGCAAAGACTAGCGCTAAGATGACCGCAGCTGCGTCTGTGTTATTGTGCAAGCCAATCAACAAATCATATGACGTGGGCGTGTGGGTGTGTGCAAGAGGTAATCAAAATATCGGGAAATAGGTAATGCGTGGGCGTGAGAGAACCCTGTAAAATAAAGTTAACTCGAGTCTCGCATGTTGTGGGTGCAGGTCGGACTGAGCTCTGGTAATGATCTGTGCGCCCTGTGAAGGTGCTTACTGCACAGGCCCCATGTAGCCGGTGTTACCTGTGTTTGCTGTAGCTCTGTGAATGCCGAATGGGATGGCTGACCGCAACCGAGGCAGCCATGCTATTGTGTGTGTTTGTGTCTGTATGGGAGCGGCTCATTGAACCTTGTCTGATTCTCAATTATAGAAATACAGTCGGTGAAACTAGCGTGTGTATGTGTTACAAGTAGAGGTGGGGGAGGGGGAGGAGGGGGGGGGGCTGGAAGACAGGTGGAATGTGCGGACATGACAGTCGATCGAAATGACATCATGCTGGTGCTTAGCGACCCATTTTAGGCAAACCTTGCGATACATTTATTTCGCATCTTTTGAAAACTTCAGACCACGGTCATTCAGGCCCCATGCCATAGTGGCCTAACTAACTTCAAGAAAAAGTTCGCCGTAGCAGGGCCGACAAAAACATCCTGAATGTGTTGATTCGACAATCGACATGACAGTGACATATATGCAACCAGAACTTTCCAGTTATATGTACGACCATGATCTTGACCTGTGGTCAAATTTAGTGGACCTAAAAAAGTTAACCCTCGCCGGCACAGGCCATTTTGAGTCCTTCGACGGCACAAGGGGGGGGGTACGACCCCCCTCGCGTTTGGCCCCTGATCGAGCTAGAGCTTCGCGGAAAAAACGAGCGTGCTGCCCGTCACGAGAGGAAGCCGATGATACCCAATTTTAAGGTCCTAGGTCATCGGGTGACTTTCCAGGTCAGGTCAATGACCCGAAAACCGGGAAAATCGGGACCTGTTAGAAAGTCGTAAAGTGTGGCTGCTATGTGGTTTTACGGGGTGCTGATCACGAATATCGTGTAAGTTTTGATCATAGATGATGTCTTTAAGCATTTAGACCAGGTCGGGTCAGGTCAGGTCAGGTCAACCGGTAAGGGTTGTGACGGGTATTCGTAATACGTGTCAACCGCCTCGGATAGCTTCGTAACATGTTACGAAGGCACCAAAACTACTTCGTAAATGTTCAAATGGTTGCTAAATTCGAATTCAGCTCCAAAAACTAGCCTAGAAACATGTAAAACTCGAAAAAGTGAACCGAGGTCACCCGAGGTCACCAAAGGTCAATGACCTGACCTGACCTTCAGGTGACCTTGACACCCACCCTAATGCATGGGAGCAACATCAAATCACATGTTTGAACGTTTGAAACCACGAAAAGCTTGCAAACGCGCGGCTAATGCGAGCCGACATGCGCCGAACCGCGATTTCGGCCAAACATGGTCACAGAAAAGAGGTCACAGGTCAAAGGTCATTAGGGTCAGGGTCATGAAATTTTCAGGATAGGTGTAAAATTGATCAATGCAAGGGTACTGAAAGTTTCGGCGCGATCGGCCGCTTTTTACGCGAGTTATTTGCGAAAAACCTTAGGGGGGGTGCATCAACCCCCCTGTGCCGGCGAGGGTTAAATTTCATTTAAGTCGACGCATCTTGACGAGACGAGCACTTAGTGAAGACAGAACAGTAACGAGGGCACCCTTCCTTAAGATTGTAACTTCGCTTATCGCTCCTCTCTTCCACATTAAACGTGATTTTCGTTACTCGTTCTTCTACGTAATGATGAGTTTCATAGTTCATCACTTTATCATAACAACAATAATACACACTAGAATGACATGCCTATTTTATTTCATTAAGTACACATTAAGTGTATATATTTCGTTTCATCTTATTGCATTTATTCATTGCTGAGATCGAGATAAACGCCAACTGAAACCACGGAGATAGCGAGCCGCCAACTCATTTCATCTAGGAAGTGGGCGGACCTGCCTGTTTTGGAGGCTACTCGCCAGGGCATATTCTAACAAATTTTTACTGCGTCCCAAAGTTGAGCAGAGGGCACGTGCTACGACTAAGGGCACAGGGCAAGGAACAGAGTAGGGCATTGAGGAGGGCAGAAAGAAGGGCACGGCAGGTTGCAGGGCATGGCACAGGACATTTTAGAGGGAAGACCGGGTACAGGTCAGGGCAGACAGCAGGGCACAGGTCAGGGAACCGGACAGGGCAGGGACGCAGTGCCCAGTGGGTTAAATTTAAATTAGCAGGGGCTACGTCCCAAGGCAAGGGGGCTGCGTCCCAAAATAGGACGCAGTAAGTGCCTTAAAATATGCCCTGCTACTCGCTTTGTTAGATGGCTCTCCCATGGCTTAAAACCGGGCGCCTTTTGGGCTGAGGCGAATGACTTTTTGGGGACCCTCGGGGTGGACACCGCCAATCGAAGGCCATTCATTGCAGCGGTGTATGGTAGGGGAAAGTGGGGTAAGACGGTCAGGGTAGGTAAGACGGGCACCCCTTCTGCAGACCAAACCAATAGCGCTACGATCGAGAAAAATTAGAACCAGAATTGCCTTTCCCACTACACACCACCATTGAAGTCTGGTGAATTAGTGTTCAGTCGATAATCTTTTATTTTGATTTCTTTAAAACACTCATTTCATTGACAACATCCATAATGTATTGCGCAAGCTTTTGTGTTTAGCACTATGGAGTTAAAAACTCGCAATCACTTATGGAACACTCATATGCCACCAGTGTTCATTTACCTCGGATTTACTTTGTCTGCATCAAATTATCCACAGAGAAAAATTGTGCTGAACTCATGACATTGAGTCTGAGGTAAGACGGGCAACTATAAATTCAATGGTTCAGTAATGGTGAAAATATTTTTGTTGCTGTAGGAAAAAAAGCATTTCTAATAAGAATATGTTCGATTCCGATACTCATAGACATGTAAGCAATATTCCTTTGGCATAGTTTATTCTCGAATAATAACTTTTCTACATGAGTGACGTGTCGAAAGACCAGAAAACAATCATCAACATACCTCCTATACAGGACAGGACGAAATTCAGAAGGGCAGGTAGTAAGCCAATTCTTCTCATGAAAGCATAAGAAAATGTTGGCAAAGGTAGGGCCAAGTGGTAGGCCCATCCCTACGCCGTCAAAAAAAAAACTTTCACATTTTCCGAAGATATGGTTATGGCCAGTTTTGACATTGAAAGTTTGTTTACTAACATACCTGTAGGTGAAACGGTTGACATAGCAATCAACTCTCTCTTCAGCCAGACTGACAGCGTCAGTGGCATCCCTCGGAAGCTATTCCGCTCAATGTTAGATTTGTCAGAAACCAACTCGTTTTTCCTTTTCAACGGACAGTTGTACCAACAACTTGACGGCGTAGGGATGGGCCTACCACTTGGCCCTACCTTTGCCAACATTTTCTTATGCTTTCATGAGAAGAATTGGCTTACTACCTGCCCTTCTGAATTCTCGAATAATGAATGTGAAAAACGGTTCTACATTACTTCTGAACTAGGACCTCTATACAAGCATAGGTACGCCTTCTGCACGAATCTCGTATACTGCCATTTCCGAAGCACTTGAGACCAACGAGCGACTGTATCAATGCTGCTAATCTCGGGCATTTGTTGCGACCTGTGCTGGTCGGTGAAAGAAACTGGCCGTCTTGCCCTACCCATGTGACCGTCTTACCCCATGGGGTGGGGGTAAGACGATTTTTTGCAAGGTTTTGCAAAAATAGCTGCCGTTTATTTGTTGAATCAGGTCTAAGTCTCATCTTCTGGCAAATGGAAGTAAAATGTCTAAAACAGGTTTTCACTCAGTTTCCCGTTTCTATTGTGTTTCTAACCGGCCGAAAAATTGCTCCAAAGTTAAGGTGCCCGTCTTACCCCACTTTCCCCTACATACCTATAGCTATGTTTTGTTGAATCAGTCCGCTCAGATAACCAAAATTAATGTAGGAACGAGCTGGAAGGTGGAACGGCTTATATAGCCCATTGCACTGAAGGAACGACAAGGCAACTATGCAACAGAAGTTTGTTGGTTCGTCACATCTTTAACGTGAAATGTCCGTTTCTCCGTTCCTGAGAATCGTAACGGCGTTCCGAAACGGATGAATAAATTATACCCACACATTTAAAAAGGGAGGACAGGTAACGCAGTGACTACTGCCTATACAACATAATTACATGCCTATGTCTACATGCCTTCTGTAAACTAATGCGTATATCTATTAAGGATAGGTATACGGGTACCAATGACATTGGTTCCCCATAAGTGCTTTATGATTGCATCACGAAATATTTTGAAACGTTACATAGTGATGCATAACTCTAGGAATAGATGAGCCCAAGTCATTAATTTCTAACAGCCCTAACAGGGCCAAACGAACCTCAGGCCGATAGCCCTCCTTATTCCACAATTTCCGGCCCTCGACTGATTCTTTCCTTGCCGCGGGTTCGGGTCTGGGGCCGCCGCCCATGATGGCTCTGTTCTGAGTGACGGACCCTCTCCGGGGCTCCGTCGGCTCCGACGGCCGGTCGCTGTCCGCACCTCCGTCACTAACTGGAGCTGACGGCCCGCCGGGGAGGCAGCCGGACCGGCCGACCACCGCCGTGACGGCCCGTGACCCGTCAGCGCCGCGTCATCGGGCCCGCGTGACGCGTGACAGGCGGCGGGAGCGGCGCGTGGCACGCGGCGCACGCACACGCGGCTCGACTTACAGCGTAGTCGCGGGAACCGAGCCGGCGGCATCAGTCAGGCGCGCGAGCCGGCTGTTTATCGTCGCTGGCGACGCTCCGCGCGGCCTTGTGACCCGCTCCCCCTCCCCCCGTGGGGATGACGGGTCACGGAGGCGGCGGCCTTTGACAAACAACCCCGGGACCTCTCATTAGTCGTAGTTGGTGGTGTTTTTCAGGGGAGCATACCATGCTGTGAAAATGCTGAGCTTTTCGATACCGATAAGGGGTTAATTACGGAGCGAGCGAAGCGAGCGTAGTCTTTCCTTAGATTAACGGAAATTTCTGAGTATGAGCGGCCGGCCGGCCGGCCGTGGTCACGCTTTTGCGAGGCTTATATCTCAGCAACCACTTGACCGATTTACACGCGGTAATTTTTGTAGGGTAGCTTCATCCCTTCTACCAAGTATTGGACTATTCCCGATGCATGTGGGTGACCCCTTATGCACGTGCCACGTGCAAAACGAAGAGGTGTCACTTTTGTAATTGTTGCAATATCTCGGTAACTACTTGGCCGATTGCGCTGAAAGTTGGCATGTAGGTAGGCACCCACTAGGCACTGCATATACATGTGCCAGAGTTGGGGTGCTGCTGCACGTGCGCACGTG